CCTCTTCCTCTGGAAAATCTGGTGTTCCTCCCATTGTTGTGTGTGTAATTGTTCTGGGGGCGCGAATTGCCATGACCTGTGAGAGCTACATTTGCAGTAATATTAGAGGATGCTAGTTCTTGTCGAAACTTCTCCAGTTGAGCCTCTTGAACATATAACAGAGCTTCTACATCACATAAGGAAGGTGGGATTGGTGTACCATACATCTGCATCACAAATGGATTGAACTCCTCAGGGAGGCCATCAAGAATCGCATCAACCTGATCTTGTTCAGTTATATTATCACCTACAACCAAAAGAGAGTTGGCAATGGCTTTGATTCTAAGCACAAACTCTGTGATTGTGCTAGTTCCTTTCTTGGTAGACTTGAGTTCAACTCTTAGTTGTCTAACCCTAGCTTTCATTTGAGCAGTGAAGTATTGGTGAATTTTGTCCCAAACCTCATATGCGTGTTTACACGCAAGAACACGAGGGAGAATCGACTCTGAGATAGTCGAAAGCAGCCAAATAAACACAGCCTGATCTTGGACTAACCATGTTTCATATTCTGCAGAAATCGTACCTGAAATACGATCTTGAGTAGTAGCAAATTTTGGTGGAATCAGCGGATTGACAACGATGCGATGCATTTTCTGAGTCAGAATAACACCTTCGACTTGTTGATTCCATAGAAGATAGTTGTTTTCTTGCAGCTGAATAGAGAGTTTCGGACCGAACTTGTTGCTTGATTTCAAGGATCCAAACCCTAAAATTCCTTCTTGCGACGGCACAAAGTCTTTGACGCCAGATTCTTGATTATCCCCAGACTCCATTGTTGCTGCTGAACAGATCTTTGCACAGGGTTACACAGGTGAAAACGAATTGAAGCAGAAGAGCACCACTACTGATAAGACAGAGCTAGCAGGAAGATTGATGAGCGGCGGAAGCGATCTAGATCGTAGAAGGCGATTGATACCATGTTAGAGTTTGATGAGGATGAACATGGAGGTTCATCTTGTAACAGAATTCTGTTAGGGTTGAGAGAAAGAAGAAGAAGAGAGTGAGAGAAAAAGAGAGGGAAAATATGATATGAATTATATTATTGAAGATATATAATATACACTATGAGGTATCCTATATATACCCAATCTATACATTTGATTTACATTGAGTATTTCTAATAATATGTGATAAATTTGAGATGTAATTCAAAAAATTAAAACTCTTAATTTTACTCTATTTTCGCCATAATAAAAGAGCACTAAAACTCATTTAAAATGTCAATAAAAAATCTCACTCTTTTATTCAAAATACAAACATAAACTTAAGCAACATTATAACTATTAGTTGATCCTCCTATCCACGTTGCGAGATCACTTAATCACTAAAGTTGATGACTTCTTCTAATCGCAACAATCAATTCCTACATAATCCTTCAAGAAACAAATTGCTAAAGATATTCATTACATCTTTCTTAAGAACTACTCCAACTTCAACTCCACCATTGCCATCTTTGCTTTCTGCCAAACCAATTGTTATATTTCTATCGATCGACACTATCTCCACCTTTTCTGGCCTTCCCCAACCAAAATCAATCTCATAAACACCAAATCTGTTAGAACCCGCCGATCCAATTACTTGAATCCCTTCATTTGGCCTAGGACTAAATTTATCAAAACCATTTTGATTTATCATCTTTATTTTCTCATGCATGCTCTTTGCAACTAAGAAATCACCATCTTCTTTTATAAAATCCAATGGTTGTGTATCAATGAAAATCCCCCAAACACAATTTCCAAAATAGTTATTTGGTATAGGTGGCTCTAACCTTGCTCTACAATCTACTGTGAACACAAAACCAAACTTCTCTTTCTCTTTTTCTACCTCATGAATAGCTTTTGCAATACAAACAAGTGAATAAGCACATGTGAGAACAAACGACGATAAATTCTTAGGCTTCGATTCATTTGTATCGAAAATTTCCCATTTGGATAACACTCTTTGCATTATTTTATCCAAATCTTCGCGTGCGAGCTTGAACGTAGCACGAAGAGAGTCTTCGAGTTTTGGTTCAAACTCGAATATCTTCATGCTTCGTTGGTTTGGTTTCTCATTTGGGAACATCTTGGTTGTCATCTCATTTAGATTCTCTGTGAATTTTGCTTGAAGTTCATTTTGATCTTTGATGATTTCCCTATTGAATAAAGGTTCTAACTCTGGTATCAAAGTTGGTGATTCTTCTAGGGTTTCAATGGTTTTGTTGCATAGATAAGCCCATGCTTTGATGAACATGGTTGAAGATTTTCCATCAAGAACTGCATGGTGTGTGGTGATACCAATAGAAAAACCACATTTTGGAAAAACGGTTATTTGAATTGAGATAATGGAAGCAAAAGTATCTGTTGATTCTAAATAAGGTATAAGAGAACGAGACAATGAAGCTTCTTGCGGTGAGTTTTCAATGACATGGTTGAAATCTAAATCAGATTCTGCAATGAGCAATGAAACTCCATCATCATCATTGGGATTAAATTGGATGAATGGTTTTGAAGAATCACAAGGCCAAATGACTTTACCAGCTAAAGGGAGAAAGTGTTGAAGGGTTAAAGAGAGTGAAGATTTGAGATTTGGAACAATTTCTTGAAAGAAGAAAGAGGGGTGTGATTGTGAGTTTGGGAGGGTGTAGAAGAACACACGTTCTACTGGATGGAATCTTAGCCAAAATATGTCAAAGTAAGTGAGAGAGATTTTTGTTGCTTGGGATGAAGATGGAGGAACAACTTTGAAGTGTTGGTGGATTTTAAGGTGGTTGTTGTTGTTGGAAGACATTGTGAGAAGAATATGTGTTGTGTGAATAAAATTTCTTAGATATGAAAGATTTGAGAGAAGCTTTATTATAAGGGAAAAAATACAAGAGAAAGAGTTCAAATTGATAAGAGTGTAGAAATATTAAGGCTAACGGTGTTCGGTCTTAAGAAATTAAAGATGTGGAAGTTTTTGCTTTGTTGAATTGTTAAGAAATTTCTATGGATGCAAAGGAAAAAAACTATGAAGAAAATTATTAGGTGACAAAGGCAAAGTTGTACACGGCTTTTACTTTTATGTTTTATTGTGTAAGAAAGCTATCTCATTGGAAATGTTTCCAATTAGTGCAAAGTGACAAAATCTGTTTTTCTTACAAGAATAGTGTAGAAATATTTTGTGCTTAATATCTGAAATATTTTTGGACTTAATGGTCCATATCTTTGCAATATTTCATAAGTTTGTGCATGTTATACATACACTTAAAATAAATGCAACCAAAACGATTTGGTTGGTAGAATTTCTCTATATAGTTAACATATTGATGGTATATGAAGTGTGAGTGTGAATTTCACATTGCATGCAAAATTAAATGTTGTACATTTTATAAGCACTACAATTTTTTTTGATTTTGCCTAATGATTTAGTGACGTGGTAAACACGTGGGTAAACCACATCAATAACATATTTAATTAATAAATTATGTAAACCTAAAATCTGCAATGAAATATTTGAATTTTAAGAAGGAGGGAAGTTTGAATTTTTCAAAAATTAAGTTGTGGCGTGTTAAACACATGAGAACTAAAAATTCAAAAAATTCTTTTTGTTTGCCACGTTGGGAGCATGTCACAAAGTACCCACGTGCACTTCACGTCGCAAATTTGTAAATAGTAAAGATTCTCAGCTTTTACTTTTAGTTTTCAGACACATTAATGATGAAATTGAATGTGACAGGTTTTCCATGTGATTCTCACGTCGTAAATGAGCCACATGTCCACCACGTCGCAAGTCTGCTTATATATGGAACAACAGAATTTTTTCTACGCATCTCATTTCTTCTTCTTTTCTTTCTTTCTTTCCTTCTCCTTCTTCTCCTTCTGCCTGCTGCAACTCCTCCATTTTTGAACGAAACTTTCACAAAAAATTTAAGGTGAATGATATTTATTTTGTTTTTGTTTTTGTTTTACAATTTATTTTAATTTTTTCTTATTATTAACTATTGATTTTTTTTTCAGATCTAAAATTAAGAAGTTCTTCCATTGAAGCTTTGAGAGTTTGCTCCATTGAGGTATTTACGCATTTAAATTTGTTTATTTTTCAGATTTATAGTGATATATGAAATGTTATTTTGATTATTGATTATAAAATTTTAGATTTGTTGTTGTTAGTGTATGTAAGTATGTATTGTATTGTTGTTGTTGAAAGTTAAAATTTAAAATATTTTGTAATAGAATATATATTTTTAGAATTAAAAACATAATATATATATATATATTAGAAAAATATGTAATAGAATATATATTAGAAACAAAATAAACAAAATATGTAATATTGTATTTAAATATGTATTTAATTGTTAAAAACATAATATATATTATGCTAGAAAAAGTAGAATTTTTAAAAATATTTATAGTAAACAAAACTGTAAATAGAAAAAATTAAAATGTATTTTTTAAAAAACGTAATGAATATGTATTATATTTAAAATGTGTTATTTTTAAATGTGTTATTTTTTGAAAAAATATTTTTATTAAAAAATAATGAAAATGTATTATATATATTTTTAATGTGTTATTTTTAGTAAACCAATTATATATATTATAGAATATTATATTATTGAATACTTATTATATTTTAGTAAACATAATATATATTATTTTAGAAAAAACAGATTTTTAAAAATAATGAATATATATTATATTTTAAATGTGTTATTTTTAATAAATAAATTATATATTATATTTTAGAATATTATATTTTGAGAATATATAGTATATTTTAGTAAACATAATTTATATTATTTTAGAAAAAATAGATTTAAATTTGTGTCGAAATAAATTTAAAATAGATTTTAATGAACATATTTTATTAGGTTGATGTCGAAATACAAAAAATAGATTTAAATTTGTTAAATTAATGTGAAAAGAATTATGTTATTTTGCATATTAAAATTATATATTTTATTAAAATGATATATAATGATAGTACAATTGTGTAGTATGGAATACTTTCGTTACTATCGTAGTTGGATGTACGATAGAATGTTACCAGGCAGACGTGGACTTACACCAAATTTGGAGGAAGGAGTTAAGAGGTTTATCACGTGGGCATTTGTACAAGAATGTTGTCGACGTGAAGGAGGAGTAAGATGTCCTTGTCTTAAATGTGAATGTAGACCTATAATTAGTGACCCAGAGGAAGTAGAACGTCATTTGAAGAGGAAGGGTTTCATTAAAAATTATTGGGTTTGGACATATAATGAAGAACAACTGCCGAGTAATGTATATGCAGAGACAACTAATACACACGCATCAAACAGTCAATCACATATGGAATTAGATGAACAATTTAATCTGATCGATGATATGGTTGGAAATGCATTTTGAGTAAATGTGACATATGATGAACCTCAGGATTATGATGGGGAAGAGTTGCCGAATGAGGAAGCACACAGATTTTACCAATTGTTGAAAGAAATGAATACACCGTTGTTTGAGGGGTCGACAGATTCAAAATTATCAATGTGTGTGAGATTATTGGCCGCAAAGTCAAATTGGAATGTTCCTGATCAGTGTTTGGAATACTTCGCAAAAATGATGTTGGATGCGACTCCTATGAAAGACAACTTGCCTATAAGTTATTATGATGCAAAGAGGTTGGTGTCGAAGTTGGGTTTAGAAGTACGAAAGATTGATTGTTGCATAAATGGATGTATGTTGTTTTATGATAATGAGTTTGGTATTAATGATGAGGCGCTGGAGGAATGTAACTTCTGTAAGAGTCCGAGATATCAAGTTCGTAGTAAAGTCATTAACCGTAAACAAAAACGTGTAGCAGTGAAGTTCATGTTTTATTTGCCGATAATACCAAGGTTAAAAAGATTGTTTGCTTCAATGCATAGTGCAAGTCAAATGACATGGCATCATACAAACAAAACAAGGTCAGGCATTATGCGGCATCCATCTGATGGTGAGGCATGGAAACATTTTGATAAGGTACATTCTGATTTTGCTGCAGAACCTAGAAATGTCAGGCTCGGACTATGCTCCGATGGTTTTACTCCATACGTCCAAGCATCTGCAATTGCATATTCCTGTTGGCCAGTTATTGTAACCCCTTACAACCTCCCTCCAGAGATGTGCATGACAAAACCGTACATGTTTTTAACTTGCCTCATTCCAGGACCGTCAAGTCCTAAAGTCGGAATCGATGTTTATTTACAACCTTTAATAGATGATTTGAAGAGGTTGTGGATTGGAGAATGGACCTATGATATATCTCGCAAACAAAACTTTACTTTGCGAGCTGCCTTGATGTGGACTATTAATGACTTCACTACAAGAAATATTGTAGTTTCCCAAGTGATATTCACGTCACTAACATAAAAACCACTTCACTAACAGAATTTGCGACGTGGGTTAATCACGTCAGAAAAGCAATTGTGGGAACTTTTTCCCACGTGGTAAACACGTCACAAAGTTGTGACATAGTAACCACGTCGCAAACAACAAAATAAAGAGGAAATGTTCCCACGTGAAAACCAAGTCACTAATTAGTGACGTGAAAATCATGTGGGAACATTACTTTACCAACTTTGTCTGCACGCTTCCCTGACACAAGTATACTTTATTATCCATGTGATATCCACGTCACAAAGTTGTGACCTTGTTTTCACGTGGGAAACCACATTGAATTAATATTCTTCCCATGTGATTCCCACGTCACTAATTAGTGACATGGGATTCACTTCACTATTAAATTTAATTATAAAAAAAATAAATAATATTAACTGAAAGCTACTATAAAATTAAAATAAATATTAAATATTAAATATAAATTTAAAATTAAAATAATTTTTAATTAAAATAATATACATTTAAAATATATAAATATTTAGTTACATGAAATTCACGTCACAAATACAAATAATAATAATAAAAGTTGTGACGTAATATTCACGTCACAAATAAAAATACTAATAAAAAAAATTATTCTTCGCCACTAAATAATTCATCTTCGTTTTGGTCATCATCTCCGGGAGAATAATTCGATCTCGAAGCAAAATATTTTCGCATTTGTGCCTCCATGTTTTATTGTCGCTTCCTCATTTCCTCTATTTCAGCATTTTGTCTATTTCTCATATCATCCATTTCGGCCTTTAGAGCCGCCTCACGTGTCTCCGCCTCTCGTCTCGCCTCAGCTAGAGCTAACTGTCTCACTGTTGCCAACATTTCTGGTGTCAATTCTGCCGGACGAGATCCTCCTTCCCCATCATCGAGTCTTTGAAATAAAGTTCGGTCCCCTTTTCTATAATCACCAGCCAAAGACCCCAGACCAAAAACACATCCATTAACTCTCTTCCCGCCTACTGTTAAATTCCAAATATAAAGATCAACGCGCGGATCAAGCGGTGCATCCCCAATCGGCGTATATTGAGGATTTTCAGTTAGAAATTGGGCAAGCAATGTCTGGTACAACTCCTACACACACATTAAAAAAATTAAATTAAATATAATTTAAACAATTTAATTATATAGTAATTATGAAATTAAAAGAATTCAACTAAAATAAACAAGTTACCAAGGTTGATTTGGAACGACCGTCAACAAAGTCGCCCGATTTTTTGGTTCGAGTCTTCACAAATAGCTCATTAATTCGTGGCTCCCTCCCCAAGTCCTTTTTCTAATTAAAATAATGAAGCTTAATTAAATATATATAATAATACAAAAAAAAACTTTAAAAAATAGTTATAATTACCATTCCTCGACGATGTTCGCCGATACTGATACTTCCAACTGTATTAAGACAGCCACCTGCTTCAGATGCCCTCATCTTTTTAGCATGTTCAGATGTTCTCTGAAAATCTTCTGTCTTCCACCACTCAACAAGTTCACCAAATATTTCCTCGCCTATCCAGTTAGGACGAGTGTGATCTCTTTCCCAACGTTGTCTAGCATTCCTAAGCATGTCAGATAATCTGCTAGATACCTTACTAAATAAATAATACGTAAATAAATCAAGAAAACTCTTCATGCTTTCGTAAATAAATAATACGTAAATAATACATTTGCATTCATATAAAACAAATAATACAAATAATACATAAATAATACATTTGAATTATGAAAGGGTCACACTCTTTGTACCTTCTGTCCATTCGAATATCAACAATGTTATATTTCTTATCTATTTTTGTGCCCCTGGAAGATGGATCATACCAATCACAATAAAACAAGACAACTCTATTTTCCGAGTCCAAGTAATTGTATGCCAACTCGTAAATATGTGTAACAACGCCATAGAAGTCGTCTTCACCACCATCTGTAACTCCTTTAACAAATACACCACTATTTATGGTTTTTTTCCCTTCAGTCCACACCTGGGTGTGAAATTTATAGCCGTTCACAAAGTATGTGTGCCATTCAATTGCTCTTTGAACAGACCCTCTAGATAAGTTACGCAAATCAAGTATTTCTTGAGTCGGTGCAACAATGCATGACAATTGATCCCTGAACCATGCTGGAAAAGATGCATGTATTTGACCGGTAGTTGCTTGTTCACCGGTGCTTTGAAAATAGGAGGCGTTAAATGCCCTATAAAGAAACACATTTTAAGTTAGATGTAATAATTCAATTTGTAAAGCCAGATAAGTAGATACGTTAGGGGTATACTTACTCAAGATATGGCCTAACTTCAATACAGTTAATAAGAACATGAACGTGTGCAGATTGCAATTCTTTTTGGGTCAGCCAATGCACATTCTCCTTTCCAGAGGGGCGACCGGGAAGACCGAAGATTGACAAGGTAAACTGACTTCTTTTGTTAACATCAAAGTCATTCCTTATGATTCTTGGAGTTAACATCAAATGATTGAAATAATGACTGCAAAAATGTGATGTTTCCCGATGCAAATAATGTGCACATATTGATCCTTCAACTTTAGCTTTATTTTTCACTGATCGCTTTGAATCACCCATGAATCTTTCAAAGGGATACATCCACCTGTATTGAACGGGGCCACCAAGATAGGCTTCATATGCAAGATGCACAGGTAGATGCTCCATAGAATCAAAAAAACCAGGTGGAAAAACGCGTTCCAACTTGCATAGAATAACTGGAATATTTTGGTCCAACTTAATGATGCTATCGACTCTTAAAGTTGACGCACAAATATCTCTGAAAAATTGACTTATTTCAGTTAGCGGATATAGCACATGGTTGGGTAGTGAATTGAACGCAATTGGAAGCAATCGTTCCATGAAAACATGACAATCATGACTTTTCATTCCATGCAACTTCCTAGTTTTTGTGTCAACACACCTTGCTAAATTTGAAGCATAACCATCCGGCATTCTCAATTCATTTAACCATCGACAAACCGCTTTAGCATCTTGGGAAGTTAGACTGTAACATGCCTTAGGTTTTAATAATTTTCCATTAGGCCGAGGCTTCAACTCCAACTCTTTTCTATCACACAAAATTTCCATGTCCCTTCTATCCTTCTCATTATCCTTTGTTTTTCCTTGAACATCCATCACTGTGTTAAATATATTATCGAAGAAATTCTTTTCAATATGCATAACATCAAGATTATGTCGCAATAAATTATCTTTCCAATATGGGAGGTCCCAAAATATACTTCTTTTTGTCCAATTGTGTTTGACCCCATATCCTTCAATTCTGTATGCTTCACCGTAATCTGTAAATTTGGGCAGTTCAGAAACTCGATTCCATATTTCCTCTGGTGACTATCGCGGAGGAGGCAAATCTTTTACTCGTACATCTTTTGTGAAATCAGTCTTGTTTCTTCTAAATACATGGTCTCGTGGTAGGAATCTGCGGTGACAGTCAAACCACGAACTTTTCCCTCCAAATTCCAAAGTAAAAGCCTTTGTAAATTCCATGCAATGTGGACATCCCATTTTGCCATGCGTACCCCAACCAGATAACATTCCATAAGCGGGAAAGTCATTAATAGTCCACATCAAGGCAGCTCGCAAAGTAAAGTTTTGTTTGCGAGATATATCATAGGTCCATTCTCCAATCCACAACCTCTTCAAATCATCTATTAAAGGTTGCAAATAAACATCGATTCCGGATTTAGGACTTGACGGTCCTGGAATGAGGCAAGTCAAAAACATGTACGGTTTTGTCATGCACATCTCTGGAGGGAGGTTGTAAGGGGTTACAATAACTGGCCAACAGGAATATGCAATTGCAGATGCTTGGACGTATGGAGTAAAACCATCAGAGCATAGTCCGAGCCTGACATTTCTAGGTTCTGCAGCAAAATCAGAATGTACCCTATCAAAATGTTTCCATGCCTCACCGTCAGATGGATGCCGCATAATGCCTGAAGATGTTTTGTTTGTATGATGCCATGTCA